TTATATATATAGAATATATTCAGCAGAAAAAAAATGTACTTAAAAATCCACAAGAACAGCAACTTCATATGTCTTTAAAAATAAAACCATGTAAGAAAATGAATACTGTAAAGGGGAGAATGAGTGAGGAAAATTGGGATCAGTTACAGGACGTAAGCAAGGGATAGATGGGAGAGTAAGAGGCTGTTTTTGTAGCAGTAATTTTTTTTATGCATTTCAAAATAAAAACAGGTCACAGTATCTCAGATGAAGCAGAAATGAAGCTGGAGATTCTCCCTCGAGTCCCCTGGGTAGAGGGGAGCTAAGAACCCCTTCTACCTGCTCACCCCCAACCCAAAGAGGAATGGATATGTTGTAGCTGGATATCCCTGTTGCCAAGAAGGAGGGGAGAAAAAGAGAGAATGGTGAAAGGGAAGACAGTCTCGGTAACTCTCAGTGTCCCCCAGTGCACAGGAAGGCTTAAGAGGCTGGGGTCTGTGTCCAGTCCCCACAGAGACAGGAGAAGGAGGAAATGGTATCTTCATCTCCAGTAGAGAGATGGGGAGAGAGAATGGAGTGCCTAAGCTTTTCCATTACCCATAGTGCAGGCTGACATGGAAACATACTGACAAAAGGCGAGGCTGAAGCTATCGCTAGTCTCAGTGCAGTGGAGAACTGGAATAGTGGGAGGTTGTATCCACCCACAGCAGAGAATAACATGGAACCATAGACTGAAAACAGATTTAAAAGAAAAAAAATAAAAATCATGTACCTAGGGAGCAGTATTTCTGTCACAAACGTGTTGACAAGGGAGGGGCAAGCACAGAGGTGGAATGGTTGTTTCACCAAAAGCTGCCTGTGCCCAAGCACAGGGTGACTGGGTACAGAAGTGCAGCTAGGAAGCCTTTTCTGCTGTCATTACTTTTTGTTCCCATCTCCATTCCCACTCTCCTTTCTATAAACCAAAAATAATCTACTCTGAATACATGGCAGAACAAGGGTCTTTCTTTATCCATCCTTAGTGCGCAAGGGGATGGAGTCAGGGAGTGGGGATAAAGAGGGGTGTCTCTAGCCCCAGTGCATAAGAGTGTGGGTTTCTACCTCTTCCGCAGGGAAGGATGTTGTGGGAAGGGGGAGCTCTGCCTGCCCAGCGTGGAGCTTGAGGCATGACCTGGAAAACGGATAGGTGCTTTCTGTATCTCCTCCTCCTCCCACTTCCTCCTCCAAAGCAAGGGTAGTTAGCCAGCACAGAAGGGTCGAGGATACACTCTCTCTCTGCTCCTCCCTCCAGTGCCAGGGTGCGTGGGTAGCATGACTCTGTGCGTGCCCCTCTCTCTCTCTCTCTCTCTCTCTCTCTCCCCTCCTCTGCAGCAGTCAGTCAGTCAGTCAGTGAGTCCCTCCAGAGGAGACGGAGGTCTCGGGGCACCCTCCTCGTCTCACCTGACCTTCTCACTCTCAGTCATTTCCCAAAGTCCCAGGTTGAGCACCTTGAGGCAGGGCAGCTGGGTGATGCGCTCCAGGCCCCGCTTGGTGATGCGGGTGCAGCCGTAGAGGTCGATGCCCGTGAGCTGGCTGAGGTGCTCGGCGATGAGCTCCAGGCCCTTGTCGGTGATGCGGACGCACTGGCCGATGTTGAGGGTGCGCAGCCCGTGCATCTGCCGCACCATGCGGTTGATGCCCTCGTCGCTGATGTGGCAGGAGCAGAGGGAGAGGGAGCGCAGCCCGTCCAGGCCCTGCGCGATGTAGGCCAGGCTCTGGTCCCCCACTTTGTCACAGAAGGAGACGTCGAGGCCGGAGAGCCGCAGGCTGCCCATGGCCA